AAGAGGCCTGGGCCCTAACAAGAAGAGATGTGGGCCTGGGCCTACCCCTGTCACTGAAGAGGCCTGAGCCCAACAAGAAGAGATGTGGGCCTGGGCCTACCCCTGACCCTGAAGAGGCCTGGGCCCTACAAGAAGAGATATGGGCCTGGGCCTACCCCTGACCCTGAAGAGGCCTGGGCCCTAAGAAGAAAAGATGTGGGCTTGGGCCTACTCCTGACCCTGAAGAGTCCTGGGCCCAACAAGAAGAGATGTGGGCCTGGGCCTACCCCAGACCATGAAGAGGCCTGGGCCCTAACAAGAAGAGATGTGGGCCTGGGCCTATCCCTAATTCTTAAGAGCACTAGCAACAGCCGTAACAACAATAGCAACAACAGCATCAGCAAGAGCAGCAACAACAACAAATGCTACCGGAACAGCAGCAGCAGTAAAGTAGCAGCAGCCACAGCATCAGTAGCAACAACTGGAACAACAACAGCAACTACCGAAGCAGCAACCTCGATGCTTTACAACAGCTTTAAAGCCTTTAGTCATCAACCTTATTGCACATGTCTGGCCCTAAGTGTGTGTGAATAGTTTTCAATAAATATAAGGTTATCTACAACCGTGGCTGATCCTGGAACGTTTATATTTGTTCTTTCCCTATAATAATAACATTGAGCTACTGAAGAACAGGCCTTGATGGTTACTCACAAACACGAATTAGGTAGCTTCACTTATACAGCACATATCTGTATGCTCAGACCTCATCCTCAAGATCGGAGCACCTCTGTCCATGGTCTGTATCTTGGACATTTGTGGGAGTCTCTTAAAAAATTAAATAAAGACTAGTGAAAGGCGTCAAGTAGGTAGGAGCCCTCACCTAGTTATAAAATCACTGGGATAAAATTTCTAAATTGGAGGGACAGCTCCCAACCCCATCCAGTGAGGAAATCAGATGAGCACCCATTGCTACAGAGGTGCTGATGAAGGTCTGGGAGGCAGAGGAGTGTGAGAAGGCTCAGTATGGATCACAGGACACCAGGCATTGGAAATTGTCTTCCAGTGAGACTCCACAGGAAGATGAATGGACCCCACTGGTATCCTCTGCGTGGTGCCACAACACAGGGAGGGACAGGCTCAGGTCCAAGGACAGTCAAGTGTGCTGTGCTCCTTCCCTTAGAGAACTAGAGGCTGGCAGGTTGCAGCTCTGAGCTCGCTCCTCTTGATCCTGGGAGGGACAGGTGGCAGATGTGTTGGTGTGTTCCATGTTGATACAGACACAGGGATGGTGTGGTAGAAATGACATGGAAACTGCACCCATGAAAATATGGGAGCCAAAATGAGACAGAAACAAGGGGAATATCATTGGACGTGCTTTTATGGGTAGGAGGGGAATCTCATGGGGACTCTTCCCGAGACGAGGAGCTGTAGGGAACTAAGCATTGCCGATGGAGGGAGAATTAGTTGTCCAGAGATGAATCCCCTACCTGGTTATCCAGTACCTAGTACTCAGACCTGTAACACACATGCACGCATCACTGAACAGGCACAGCCTACGGTAGGTTTAAATCTTAGCATTTTTCTGTAAACATCTGCCAATAATGAAAACTTGTCATCATCCTTCTGAGAGGGAGAGAGAAGGAAAATGGCAACAATTCGAGCAAGAAGGATAGTGCAATGGTGTGATTTTATTTTCACTCTACAAATTATAAATGTAACTATTTAGTGGAAGACTGGCTGGGTGAGAACTCCTATTGTAATATGTGTGCAGTGAGACAGCGGTCCTGTGTTGTGTTGTATTTCAACACTCTCGTCTCCACACCTAGACCTCCCTTCTCCCAAGAAGACACCTGCACAGACATTACAACATCGTGTTGACGTGGGGGTTCTGTGGTGACAGAGTTACCTGGAGCCTTTAAATCAGCTGACACCCCAGGATATAATTAGTGCTCTGTCCTCTCCCATGCCACCCACACATTCCCCAAGCCCCATCTCACATTAAACCAGTTCCCACTGTGGCGCCTTCATCTGGGAGGAAAAAACACAGAAGCGGGGACTGTGAGTCGCTCACTTCTCACTGCAGCAGCAGAACCCTGGGCGGCCTTTTGTTTCTGGTTTATACCGGTACCTGAGTACTGAGTACCAGAGTCAGACTCCAGGAAGCCCAGAATTAGCCTATAAATGTGTTTTTCAATTTCCTAATTACTTTTAAATATAACGCAACTATTTCCCCACACCTCAAATGCACTTACAAGGATTTTATATTATCTACATAAATATTAAACCATTTTCACTCCCCCCCCCAAACAGGGTTTCTCTGTGTAGTTTTGGTTCCTGTCCTGGATCTCACCCTGTAGACCAGGCTGGCCTCAAACTCACAGAGATCCGCCTACCTCTGTCTCCCGAGTGCTGGGATTAAAGGCGTGCGCCACCATCGCCAGGCCTCCATTTTCACTTTTATGCAAATAATATGGATAGTTGGTTCATGTCAGGAATAAATCTTTTGAGATGTATGTAATTTACTATGAAAAACCAATCAAAGGCTCTGGGAACATAAAGAACTTGTTCATAGTATTGCATGTTAAGTTCCATCTAGTACATACTGAGTGCCCAAATCATACAAGAATTCTTAACATGTGGTTTTCAATATCCAGAACATCCAACTCTTTAGTTAACATCATTTTGTCCATTTCTAATACCTGGACTGATTTTAAACCAGGTGGGCAGTCCTGGCCTTGAACTCGCATCACTCCTCCTTCCTCTCTCCCTCAAGGGATGAGATTCAGGGGCCACCACCCTGGCTCTGTTCCTAACATCTGCAATGAGAGCCACAGCTGCAGGTGGAAGCTCGTGAGCACACGAGGCTTACACTCTTCTCCCCTGACCTCAGTGTGGAGCCTGGTAAAGGGTTCTGCTGTGACGGGGGACCAGCAACAAGTGGAGCACACATCAGTGCACAGGCCTCAGGCTCCTCTGCCCCTCTACCTAAGGTTACAGCGGTGAGTGTTACTTGTGTTGGACTCTCTAGGAGAAGGCTCAACCAGAATATTCACTACAATTTCATATAAAAGTCAGTGAAAATTAATACCTTATGCAGTTCTGCTTTACATAGGAAACAGCTCTTAAAATCATTTTTTAAAAATCATCTTTTTTTTTTTTTTTTTTTTTTTTTTTTTTTTTTTTTTTTTTTGGTTTTGGTTTTTTGAGACAGGGTTTCTCTGTGTAGCTTTGCGCCTGTCCTGGGACTCACTTGGTAGCCCAGGCTGGCCTGGAACTCACAGAGATCCGCCTGGCTCTGCCTCCAGAGTGCTGGGATTAAAGGCGTGCGCCACCGCCGCTGCCGCCGCCGCTGCCCGGCCAAAATTCATCTTCTTACCTATAGTTTTCAGTCACTATACTGATTCTACAAGGAAGGGTAGCCTCTGTTTGTAATTTTGCAAATCTCATCAGCCAGGGCATATGGATGGCTTATTAGAACGCTGTGGTGGTGTCTTTCTGCTCCTGCTGCGCTAAGGATGTTTCACCTGAACAAACACACTGTCACTAGCACACGTTAGTGCTGAAATGTACACTGTCCTGTAAGGGCCACAGGGTAGAGAGGAAAATGAATCTTCTTAAAACTAAGTAACCGAGTCCCAGGACTTTCCATCATTCGTTTATTTAGGTACCAGGTACTTCGGAGTTTAAGGTAGTTACTACTCAAAATACAAAGAAAATGAAATGATAATTAACATTACCTTTCCCCGAAGATGAGGAAACATTTTCAAAGGCCACATGAAGATCCACAAGGCAGCAGTTCACATTTCCTGAGAAAAAGAAAATGGTCGGAAAGCATAAGGGAGTGAACTGAGCCCACCCACCACCTGCCTCTGCACCAAACTCTTACTCCACAGCACACAGGGCTGAACTGCAGTGACAATGACCTCCACTGCAGAGTCGGTGACAGTGAATTCTCACACTTTCCCTTTAAAAGATAAAAAGGTTTCATAGGGATTTTAGCAGCATTAAAAATGAAGTCTTAAATAATATGTTAATTGTTTGTGAATTTCATACATAAACATAGGCTTCTTCATCCTAGAGTTCCTAAAAGCAGCAGGGCTGTCATGTAAAGTAGTGCTTTATTGCAATTCCATGACCTCCGGATCTTAAAATCTGTCCACCCCTCTTCCGGAATGGTCTCTGAGACTCAGAGGAAGGTGTAATGTAAATATCACATTTATGCCTGTGAATGCCACATCTCTGAATTTTGACAGTTTCTAGTGTGACACACAGCTTCCTGCATTGAGACTTCTCTGATGAGGACTGAGCTCACTGACCTGTGAGTACAGAGATGTGAATTCAGAGGCAGTGTGATCTGACATTTAACATGGTAGTTGCGGTAGGCTCTCTCTGGGGGCCTGTGAGTTTGCCAGCCATAGGTACTATACTAGATTTACACTGTGATGCAGGCTTTTATTCTTGTGGGTTGGATTTTAATTCCAATGAGAATGTGGCTCGTCACTGCGGTGTTCTTCATGAGCATGGGCCCATGAGCTCCTATGCTTGATTAGGTCACAGAGGGCAGAACTGTGTGGGAAGGATTAGGAGGTGTGGCCTTGCAGGAAGAGGTGTGTCACTAGAGATGAACTTTGAGGTTTCTCTCTGACTCATGCTTGCTATGCCAAGATGTGAGCTCTCAACTGCTGCTCCAGCACCATGTATGCCAGTCGGTTGCCATGATTTCTGCCATGATGGCCATGGACTCATCATCTGAGTCTGTAAGGCCCTAACAACTTTTCTTCTTTGAGTTTCCTTGGTCATAGTGTCTCATCATAATACCAAGTAAATCAGTCTTGCCCATGGCATTCAAGCACTATTGCACCAATGGTTACATCTTGCCACACTGGTTGTCATTTACAGTTCACAGGAATACAGCTGGAGGAAACTCCTGCCGGTCCCATCCATGACCCTAAATAGGGCATTTCTGTACTA